ATGTAGAGGAGGGAAATAAGGAAGCTTCAAAGAAGAATGTTTTTGTACAAAATCCAGGGTCTTCAAGAGCCAAGCTAAAAGGCACAGAAGAAACAGAAGACCTGCAGTCAAACATTAACTGAGCTTCTCATTACGTGTTGCTCTAGGGAAATTCAGTCTCCTTAGCACCTTGCTTCTTCTGTAGTGAAATGGAGAAATGAGTCTCAAGTTCCTCAAAGTATTGGTGGAAGACTAAATGAAACAAATATATATCGTAATGTATCTAACAATTTCTGGGATCTTCAAAAAAATAAATTTGACATGAATAATTCTCCCTTCATTTTCATTGGCTCACTTTTGTTTAACCCTAGATATTTTGGAGCTGTGTACTAGAGGAAAACTGTATTTTATCTTCTTAATTCCATGAAGGACACATAAAGAAAGATTCAAATGATGAGAAAGGAAAGAAAGAGGTACAAGAAGATGAGGGGAATTTCAATGCAAATTCCCCTGATAAATATAAAAATTAAAATTGGGGAAAATAAAATGGAGCACTTTTTTTGTTTAAATATAAATATGACAAGGTCAGCAAATAGTAGCAATCATCATAGAAAGGGGCATAAAGATCTCTTAAGCTGAACTTCAAGAGTAATTCAGGATACTTTTAATATTAAATTCATAAAGCCATATTTTCTTTTCTGCTAATGACAACACTTTTGTAACTTTCACCAAGCAGTGTACTGGGGCTGTCCTCTTTTACAAAGGCTAGTCACCAAGGAAAGTGCTGCATTTGAAACAATGATCACAAAGTGAAAGGGTCCTTCTCCCATGACCTTTGAAATGAGAGGGTCACCATCTGAGAAAGGAGATTCTGTAGCTGGGTCTTGACCTCTTAACTATGATTTGTCACGAAGCGGACAACAGCCTTCATATCCTATATGTGATTTCAAGAGAGTGAAAAATGGCATTTTATTGGCTTGAGGATGTGACTAAACCTAGGGTTTGGTTCCTGTCCACATTTTTAAGGAATCCCCTTGCTTTCAAGATTGCTTCGCATTCCACCAACATGACTCTCTATAGAACCGTATGAGATTGGCCGTCGGACTTTGGCTATGAATAATGTCGCTTCCATATTATTTGCTCTCTTTCTTTACTTTGGAATTGCACGTTGTCGCTTTGGATGTTGTCACCATGAACGTAAATGCCAAAAACCATGAAAACAAATAATAAAAACTAAAAGGTGGATGCCCACACATTATTTATTTTCTTTGAATTAAAAAAAAAATCCTAATACTTGCCTTTGTTGGTGATTTCCAAACACTTTTTTTCCTCCCTTCTGTTTGGATTATCAGTATAACTGGTTTTTCCAAACCATAATAGTAACAGATAAAGGGACTGCTCTGATAGAAGTCTCTGGAGGAGTGCCTGTTCATCATCCCTGCTGGTCACCATGAGACCTTTGAGTAGAGGCTAGGAAATGGTGTTCTGGTCATGAGTTAGCATAGAAACAAAATTAAGTTGAAAAAGTATTGCCATCACTATCCATAATAGCTCAGAGATCCAAAGAATTCTAAAGTGATAAGAGGATTGAGACAGAATCCAGTGTAAATTTCTCATATAAAGGAAAGGGACAGAGAGGATTTCTAGATCAAGGTTGAACTGTTTGTCCGCAGTAAAGCCAGACTAAGTCCCTGGTCTCCCATCTCCAAGTGAAATGATCTTTTGTTGTGGTGGTTCAAAGGTTACCAAGGCTTCTCTTTCTTTGGGGCTGTTTTTGGCTTCTGACTCCCTCTGAGTTCTGAGTCAGACAAGCACTTCTGAGATTTTGGAAAAAAAATCTGTGCATGCTCAATCAAGACTTCAAAAAGGAAACAGAAGCTCTACTTCTGTGGAAAAAGCCTCAGAGGTCCAGCGAAAGGCCATCCTTGTCCCCCATTCTGTGGGCTGCACTTCTCTAACTTCCCATCTCCAACACCCCTAAAAGCCCTTGGAGAGGAGTATCTCAGCACAATCCCCCACTATTTGCTGCAGCCAGCAAGCACTTCTCAGATTATCAATTGTTACACTGAGAGGTAAAGAGTGGCTAACCCTTGAAGAATAAAATATAAGGAAAAGTATGTTTTATTATTTCTAGGTTGAAAAAACAGTATTTTGACAACGTAGGTACATAGAGATAGCAAAGTCATAATTTTCTCAAGATGGGGTCATAGGAGAAAGTGAAAAGAGAAAAGAACAGCCTTAAGAAAGATGATTTTCTTTTTCTCTCCTCCCACCCCTGAACAATTTTTATCCCCACTGCAATCTATTGGCATTTACTTTGTGTTCTAATGGTACTTCCATACCCTGGCCTCAAGTCTATGTATGTATCGCCATTATGGAAACATAGTGGATGGCCAGGTGGAGTGGAAAAGACTTGAACTTCAGAAATGCATGTTCAATTATCTGCCTCTAAAATACTGAAAAGTTCCAGGAAAAGTTTTTAAGTGTGTGTGTTAGGATCAAAATAGAAGAAGAGAGCAAGAAAATTTGCAATATTTAATTTTCTGAGGCAAAAGGATGTCCCTGTGGTTCCTGCCCTCCCCGTTATGAAGTGACCAGTTAAAGGGGGTAGTTTGCTTTAAAATTTTATTTCCTTAAAAAAATTTTAAAGTCACCCACACTCCCTCCCCCAAATTATTAATAACCAGGAATGTTCTTCTATGTTCTTCAATTTTGTAGGCAATACTCCTCGTGCATTCAGCTGGAGTGGGCACTTCTTCCTCAGATTTAAGGAAACACAAAAACCACAAAGAATGCTCACTATTATTTTTTTCTTGGTTGGCAGAACAGAAGCCTTTCCTCAAGGAAAATGCTTAGTCATATTCATTCCAAATATATTGTTTAGTAGTTGTGCAGACTCTCAATTATATAAAATTTACTTTCAATGCAAAGAATGCCCTAGGAAAAGGTTTCTAAGGAAAAAGGAGCACGAAGACAGAGGATAAAGTGTTAAAAGAATCAACTATGCCAAGGGCAAGTGGTTCAAGAAATGACAACACATGTACATTGAAAGGAAATTGGCAATGTGGACATGATTTTGTCTGGGGTCAGGCAGGAGCACCTGGCTGGTTTTATTTATAAGGTAATTGTCAAGTCAATCTGTGGAATATAGATGAGGTAAAACGCAGAGGTAGAGTATTATTCTAGATCATCTGTAACTTTTCAAATACAACCTTCACGCTGAAATTCCAGGGAGAATGTAAGTGACTCCAATAAAGAAACCTGTCAGTCAGTCAACAGTGTTTATTTATTATCCCCCTGGGCCAGGCACTGTTGTAGCCAATATGAAAACGTACAAAATAAAGAGTAGTCATCACCCTTATAATCTCAGGAGAGCAAATGGATTAAATCTGCAGACACACACACACACTCTCCCTCTCTCTCACACACACATCCTCTATGTGGGTGGTCGAGAAATTCAACTCTATGAACATATAACAGCCTCATTTAGAAAAATACTGATTAGAAAATGAGACTTAAAAAATCAGAAAAATTGGTAATTCCTTTTATGGCAAATACATTAAAATGCATTCATAAGGCATGTCTTTTATAGAAGTCTCATTATTCATTCAAATTTGGCGTCTTCTCTCTCCTTCACCAATCTACAAAACATTTTTGGGTACTGGGAACATATTTATTATGCAAATATGGATTCCCACTGGTGGTGAGGAGCTAACAAAGTGATAAAGCTTGTGTTTGCTAAACTTTAAGTCTTTAAAGTCAAAGACTAGGACTTTTTTTTTTGGCTTTCACATCCTGCACTGTGAAGACAGAAGTGATACAGGAATAAGACAGAATGGATGGGATAGATGAGTTAAAGCTTCAAAGGAGAATTTTAAGAGGGCAAAAGAAGAGGTCTAGGATATTGCTCGCACAGAGGTCAGGGGGTTGGTCTCAGGCCGTGTTCTGACTCTAGGAACAGGGCTTGGCATTTGCAGACTGACTGAGGAAGGGGCCTCTCCTGCTTTGGTCCAGTGGGATGATGCCCTGCCTCCAGGTACTGGGGCAGCTTTCTTCAACATTCAGTAGGCGGCCTTGCCAGGACTCGAAGGGCATCTCCTTGAAAAGGGCATTTCAAGGCTACCCTTTCCTCAAGGCTATACCCTTCTCTCCAGTTTCTGGTGGAGCACCCTAAGGGGTGCACGTGTCTGCAATAACAGAGGGTTGGGTGCTATTTCTGATTCCCTTGCCCCACACTTGCTTGGCTTACTTTAATGCAGCCCAAGTAGTTTGCAAGCTCCACGAGGACAGGCTTTGTGTGTTTTCCACGCTACAGCCGCGCGGCTCCTAGAACAGTGCCTGGCACGTGGGCATTGGACACCCCGTATTTGTTCAACGCATGAAAGCTGTTACTGTGACCATTTGTCTTTACTTCTGCTTCATCCATCCCGCTCCTTAGAGCCCGAAAGTAGACTGAAGTTGAATTCCAGTTTCCCTTCTTCATTAGCCCCAGGGTGTCTGGCCAAGGGTCCAGCTCAAGCCCGTGGGAGTGGGGATCCCCTGGGAAATTAATGAGGCGTCCCGGCTCCTGGGGTGCGGAAAGGGAAAGCTGCGGGAGGTTGGTCCCACTTCTTTTTGCCTTTGCCGCACCCCTCGCCACCCATCTGGCTCTCTGGGCTTAGGGGCGTCCAGGAGGAAGGAAACCAGGGGCCCTTCTGGCTGCGCTCCCCGTCTGGGCCACTTGGGTCCGGTCCCTGGCGAGCCCCGCGGCACCCCCCGTCTGTGCCAGCACCTGTTGGGCGGCCAGTTGGCCGCCCCACCCCGAGCCGGCGGCCGCTGCCCGGGGCTGCCCCTCCGGCGGCGCCGACCCCCGCCCGCCCGCTCGGCCGCCGCGGGAGCTCGGCTCAGCCTCCCCGGCCCTCCGGGCGCGCACCCGCCCGGGCCCGGCCCACGGCCCCCTCCTCCCGACGGCCGCCCGGCGGGGGGAAGGTACAGAAGGGGAGGGGACAAGGCTGAGCCTCCCGGCCGCCCGGCCTCCTCGCTCCACCCGGTGCGGAGACGCCTCGCCTCGCCCCGAGGTTTGCGCCGAGCCCCGGGCGTGGGGGGAGGGGACGGGAACTGCCGAGCTGCCGAGTCCCCCCCGGCTTGGAGGAGCCGGGGGCGCCCCCGAACCAGGTGAACTTTGAACGCGGAAAACTCCAGCCAGGTGCCGGGACCCGCGCGGCGCCAGACGGGACCCCGCGCACAGCGCGCGCGGGGCTGGGGAGCCGGAGCCCCGCGGCCTCCCTGCGCCCGCGCCCGGGACGGCCTCGCCTCGGAGCCCCCGGCCCTGCCCCGGCTCCGCCGCCCCGGACCCGCCGCGGCGCCCCGCGGCTGTTTCTTCCCCCTCCCCCCTTGGGGGTAGGGGTGGGGTGGGGGTGGGGTGGGGCGGGGGCTAGGGGCGCCCGCAGGGGCGCATCTATTGGCAGCTTTGTTATTGATCCGAAACTGCTGGGCCGCCAACTTGGCTGCGAGGCCGGCTTCGCGCGACCCTGGAGTTCCCGCCTCGGTCCTGTCCCCCAAACTGACAGGTGCTCCCAGCAACTTGCTGGTGACTTCTCGCCGCTCCCCCGGCCGCCCCGCGTCCCCACCCCCCCCTTCCTCCCTCGCCTTCACCCCCACCCCCACCACTTCGGCACAGCTCAGGATTTGTTTAAACCTTGGGAAACTGGTTCAGGTCCAGGTTTTGCTTTGATCCTTTTCAAAAACTGGAGACACAGAAGAGGGCTCTAGGAAAAAGTTTTGGATGGGATTATGTGGAAACTACCCTGCGATTCTCTGCTGCCAGAGCAGGCTCGACGCTTCCACCCCAGCGCAGCCTTCCCCTGGCGGCGGTGAAAGAGACTCGGGAGTCGCTGCTTCCAAAGTGCCCGCCGCGAGTGAGCTCTCGACCCCGTCAGCCAAATGCTCCTCTTCGGGCTTCTCCTGCTGACATCTGCCCTGGCCGGCCAGAGACACGGGACTCAGGCTGAGTCCAACCTGAGTAGTAAATTCCAGCTCTCCAGCACCAAGGAACAGAACGGTGAGTCTGCCCACCCCCTCCTGCCCCCTTCTTGTGGCTCGCTGCGTGTCTAACGTTGGCATTGTGAGCTGCTGCGCGATGTCCACCAGCCTGCAGGGCTCCCACCAGCTCTGTCCGTGCAGGCGCGCGCTGCCTTCATTGGCCTGGGCTTGGGGGAAGCTACGTGGAGTTTGCAACTTCTGGAGCTGCCTCGGGGCTCCAAGAGGGCACCGTGGGTGCCCCTGCAGCCTCTGCTGGAGAAAGGACATCCTGGGAGCGATTGTGAACGTCAGTGCAGACGCACATTGTTGGACTTCTCTCACTGCCTGACTTTTAAGTTTGAGAACTCCCTGTAAAAACGGATTCAAAATGAATGAATCTTGGCATGTTTGACTTGACTTAGTTTTTTGTTTTTTTTTTTAATTGAGGAGGGGGGTGCTACAGGAAATGTTTCAGCTGCGTTAATTGATGCACTGTAGGTGGAAAGACATCAATTAACCAGTAAGTAGATAGGAAATCGAGATGTCAAGAGACCGTGTGGACTTTTTTAGAGGGAATTAAAAAAAATGTATTTTTCTTGTGCCTTTTTTTTTTTTTTTTTTAATGTGCCTTTGTATTCTGAAGCCTTTACCTTTTTGGTGCTGTGTTTTTATATGTGTTAGTGAATGACTGCTATTTTGTGTGTGCTGGAAACGACTTAATCCTGCATAGGAAATGAGAATTACTTTCAGCTTTCAAGTGTACCTGAAATGTTTAGAAAACTCTCAGATGCAAGTTCCCTTGGGCTGGGATTGCACAAAGCTGGAGAAAGGCTCCTTTCATAAAGCCAGGGCAGCTTCAGGGTGTGTAATTTGCTTAGCCTCTGAACTCCATATGATTTACATCATTCAATTTCTAAACTCTTTTTCTCTTGATCTACCATTATGAAGTCATTTTTGAGAAAACTTTGTAAATAGAAATTTTATACTGCTCGTGAAACCACAACGTTAATGTAGGCCATCTAAAATCGGAATATTAAATACTCTGTTTACAAGTGGTGAATCTTAATGTTATTTGAAAAGAAATGTACATGTTTTTACTGCTCTGTATGCCATTGATTCAGAATGCAAGAATGCTGTCACTTCATGAGCCAGGCGAAATGAATACAGGCAACTTACCTAGAAAATCAGAATGGTGTGTGTTCTATTTTCAGGTCATAACAACTTATTCTTTATGAAGTGGGATGTTTCAAAGTTTCAACCTTGAACTTAAACTCTCTATAAAGTGCTCACCTTTAAGGCATTACAGAAAGTTCCAAAGTACAAAAGTAGGGAAAAATGAGGATTCCTGGGACTTTTGTAGAGGTTATGGGGAATTGTATGTACCACAATGGATGGTATTACATTTATCAGTCAAAATTCATGTGCGTGCTTCTTACAAGTTGCTAATAGGATGGCACATGGCACCTGCAAGCTGCTTGAGCTGCTGATCAAAGGGCAGCCTAGGGATCTATCTCTAATCACAGGAGCTGTGGAGGGCTGGGGGAAAGTGATCAAAGGAGGCACAGCACCAGCTGTACCCTGGCAGGAAACAGATCAGACCAACCTTTGTTCTTTCTCATATAAAATAAATGCCCAGGTCAAAATACTACTTCTTAGTAGACAAGCTTCTCCAAAATGACCACACATGATATTCTTGATTTCTGTCTATTTTTCATTGTTCCTGTCCCATATCATTTCCTCTACTGCTGTTTTATCAAGCCTGCCCTGGCATCTGTCATCTCTGTGATTTCCTTTGCTACTTGTGCCTCTCGTTGTCCTTTCCTATGATCCATATACCACCATCGTTTTGCAGTGGGCCCCAGCACTCACATGTGGTCATTGGCCACCTTACAGGCAGGTTCACACCCTCTCGGAAGAGGTGAGTTTATTAAACCAGGCCACACACATTCTGTTGCCATCAGAGGCTGGGCCATTTCCATTCCTAAGATGCATGATGTTAAATATAGCCTGGTTGTTTCCTAATCTGTGGGCAGAGGATTGGGCTATGTTTAGCTGTTGGGAGGGTTGGCAGCAGGAAGAAACTAGAGGTAGAAGAACCACTCACCTTGCAGTTTTTCAGTATGTGGAGTAGTGGGACTGGTCAGCACTAGGGGGCAATATAGAGCTATTTTCTTGCACATGCTCAGGTTGATTTTTATGCGTCAAGTCTCCAGGATTTGAGGATAACAGGTAGGCATTGAAGAAGATCCCCCTGGAATGTGAGCACATTTGCTGTAACAGCTTCTCCTTTTACTTTTTTTTTACCCTCTAATTTTCCATTACCTCATGGGGTGGTTTTTTGCCTTCATTGTGAGTTAGAATTCATTTTTGATTGCCCTTGTGTCGTGTTCGTCTGCATTGAGATGATTGATTCTGCAAGTACACACTGTCCTGTGGATGCTACATAGAAAATGACATTAACCTAGCTCATCGTTGCATCATTTTATGAAAGGTCTTCTACGTGCTAAATCTGCAATATCCAAATTGATCTATTGTGACTATAGGAGCTCACTTCTGATGTCAAGGACCCCTCCCCAATGACTCTCTTTCCTAGACTATTCCAAAGTCTCCAGTGGTGTTGATTCAATCAAATCCCCTGGTCTGCTCGTGTCAATATTAACTTGGTGTCTTAAGAGGTGTTATAAATGGGAATTGAGCTCTATAGCCAAAATTAGTTTCCAGGGATTAGTTTTATTTACTCTACTGTTACCTGAATTAATTTAAGTTAATACCTTTGTGTTGCAGTTTCTGCCACTTTATTGTTAATAATTTTACCCTCCAATATTATAAGTTGTCTTTGTGTCATGCATTCTCAAGCCGACTTTTAACCCCAAAGTCTCACATATAAACCGACGTCTCCAAGCTTAATGTAAGGAAGGAGCTAAATGATAAGAAAACTGACTTATGTAGGGTTTCTGGTCCCTACTTTCTGTATGACTATGAACAAAAATATTGTTTTCTGTGTATATTTATTTTTAAGGAGAATGCCAGCTAGGAATAACTAAATTCTGGGATGGCACCTCTGGGTTGTAGCAGGAATCACATACACTAATGAACAAAACAAAACAAAGCTTACTTTGTCAGTTGCCTGTAGACAAATAGACAGCACTCACTGTAGTTGGTGGAAGAGACTTCATCTGCCCCACCTCATTGGTGAGTGATTTTAAATTTCCCATAGACCTGAAACTTACTTCATGGTGTTCTTATTTTCAGTGGACATGTGGCATAGGTCTCTATTAGTTGAGGTTATCTTCATGAACATCATGTATCTTATGTACTCTTTTCCTCAAGGACTCTGTGGCCTGTGGGGCCATACACTTTCCGGACAAATGGTCCCCATAGTAATGCCTGAGTATATGTCTCTTGAGTTTATTGCTTTTCTGGCTCTTTTTTTTTAAATGCCAACATTCTCCTCCTCCCACTTACTGCTTATGGGCCTTGTGTAACAAAACTATATTATACCCCCCCCCCACACACACACACTCCTACACACTGCTTTTTAGGTGACAGCTTCAAAGCATTAGTTTATTGAAAAACAGATCATCACCATCCTTATAATAGTGCTCAAGAATAAACAGGCTGTCTGAGGACTAAAGGGGCTTTCCTCTGGATTCGTCTATAAGTTGTAGTTCGTGACCTTTGGGACATTCATTTTTGTTGTTTATAGACTTTTTTCTTAAACTTCCTCCTGGCTTTCTGCTCTGTTTGAGACAGTTGAGGAAGTTGAATAAGTAAAGTGTCATTATGTTATGTAATGGTGAATATCTTTCTTCACAAAAGGTGACACAAAGGCCCTGTTCTATTTTAGGGTAACTTTTTCTCCCCTACCTACTGTAATATTTGACTTGTTACCTCATATGCTTTGCATTCACTTCTGAAAGTGTTCAGAAAGTGCAAAGGTCTGTAGGAAGATTCAGAACTACAGTAGTATATCCTTTGTTAAATAGTTGTAAATAGACAGTAGGATCTGACATTAAACTTTCCCCAAAGACGCCATTTTGTAGGCTTCTGTCTCAGGCAAAGCTACTGTGCTCTCTGTCATTAATGATAATGTAATATGTATTAAGTAAAAAATAATTAAGTGATGGCTTCCATAATGTCCATCACACCCCTCCCTTCTGAAATGTTTCCAAGGCTAGAGGATTTTCCCCCACAAGTTTCTCTTTGTAGCAATAAAAATGGCAGAAGGTTTTTTTTTTTTTAGATTTATTTATTTTTACATAAGAGCTGGGGTACAGACCAGAAGCGCGAAAGGGTGAGAGGACTCACCAGAGACAGAGCGGGCAGCAGAACAGGCGGACTGACCGAAACGCACTGCTGAGGGGAGCAGCGGGCGAGACAGGAGGGGTCTGCTGCACCATGTGGAAATCTCCCTGGTCGGCCAGGAATCGAACCTGCGCTGCAGAGGCTGTGGACAGCATCACAGTGCTGCGCTCAACCTGCTGTGCCACTGGGGTGGCCCAGAAAAGTCTTAATATAAGTCCTTTCATGTACTAATTTTGATGTTTCTGATGCTTGTATTGAAAGCATACAATATAGGCATATATATTGCATCTCTGTAGGCTGAGATGCAATTTTTATTGTATTTATTCAATAGTCCTGTGTATTTTTTTCTCCACCACTGCTCTAACTGGGCTTTTATTTTTATTTATTTATTTTTTAATCGACTCCCCCTTTCCTCTCATGTGGACACCTCTAGCGGTTGATTTTCACTTGGTAGGCACCAATACTACCATACTGATTATTAAAATATGGAATATCCCAAGTGTTTGGGGAAGGAGCTGGACTATTCCTCCAGGACAAATTAGTTCTCTCGGAAACGAAACAGAAGCTACAGGGTTAATGCTTGGCACCTTAGGACCTCTGGGCCTCCTTCTTGATTGACCAGTGTGCCTGTCACAGATTGTTAAACACTCTGACACTTTTTGCTATGGACAATCTAGTTCATATTGCAGTTCAAACTGCTGTCTCTTCTCCCTGCTGCTTGCCAGCTCAGGCCAA